TCAATCAGATGCACAGCCCAAATCAATCAGATGCCCAGCCCAAATCAGATGCACAGCCCAAATCAATCAGATGCACAGCCCAAATCAATCAGATGCCCAGCCCAAATCAGATGCCCAGCCCAAATCAATCAGATGCCCAGCCCAAGTCAATTAGATGCCCAGCCCAAATCAAATGCCCTGAGAGATTTGCAGCCTCGACTTCCCATGTCACCTCCCTGGCCTAGTCCAGGCACTGAAGTAGCCCTGGGGTCAGGTCACTGTGCTGGAGGTAAATGTTTTATGCTGTGAAATACAGCACTAAAGCAGCTTGTTGGCCAGGCACGGTGGCTCACACCTGTATCCCATCTACTGGGGAGACCAGGGTAGGAGGATCACCCTGAGCCTGGGAGTCAGAGACCAATCTGGGCAACACAGCAAGACACAAAAACAAAACAAATTAGCTGGCTGGTGATGGTGCACACCTGTATCCCAGCTGCTCAGGAGGCTGAGGTGGGAGGATCACTTGAGTCCAGGAAGTTGAGACTGCAGTGAGTTATGATTACGCCCCACCACTCCAGCCTGGGTAAAAGAGTGAGACCCTGTTTTAAAACAAAAAACAGTTTCTGTGTCTGGTATTGATATTTGGTGTCATGTTAAATCTGTGCCCACAGAGCCGTGGCTCCCTCCCAAGCCTGTGAATCACAGGGCTGCTGTTCCTTCCAGTCGGCATTCTTGACTACACAGCCTTGCCCCACACTGCACAGTTGCTGTAAGGGGAAAGCACATGTGTTGGGAAAAGGCACAGAAGTTAGTTGCAAGCAAGGTTTATTCTGATGGAGTGAAGCCAGTTTGAGAATGCTCGATCTTTTTTTTTTTTTTTTTTTCAATTGAGGTGGAGTTTCACTCTTGTTGCCCAGGCTGGAGCGCAATGGCTCAATCTCAGCTCACTGCAACCTCCACCTCCCAGGTTCAAGCAATTATTCTGCCTCAGCCTTCCAAGTAGCTGGGATTAGAGGCATGTGCCCCCACACCTGGCTAATTGAGTATTTTTAGGAGAAATGGAATTTCACCATGTTGGCCAGGCTGATCTTGAACTCCTGACCTCAGGTGATCCACCTGCCTCGGTCTCCCAAATGCTAGGATTACAGGTGTGAGCCACCACACCCGGCTCCCTCGATCTGTTTTAAAATGTAGAACTTAGATACAAGGCGACTTACGAACTTACTGTTGAACTCACATTCTGTCTCCACACCAGCAGTGGGAGTGGGGTCCCACAGGCACTGTGGGTCTCTGTCAGTGTCTCTCCCTCCAGCTGCTTTTGCCTTGGTCAGACCTAGAAGCTAAGCTGTGGGTTGTGTTTGCTTCTGGAGATTTCAGCTGGGCTCTCCTCACTGATAAGGAAATGCTGCTTCTTAGAGAGAGTCCAGCCTGTCTGCCTAATCGATGCTGGACAGAGCCCAAGCTGCATGGCAAATCCTTCTCCACATGCTCACTGAGAAGCCAGCGCAAGACCCTTCCGGTGTCAGTGGGGCAGGAAGGGCTGTCCCCAAGACGTAGGAGGGGCCAGTCCTTCCCCCTGTCCACCAGAAACGGAGGCAGTTGGGGGTGGGGACTGTTTCTGGAAGGTACAATCCTTGCAATGCAATAAAGGAAGAAAAGAGAGAGTGAGGCGCACACATACATGCAAACACATAAACATATACACATGCACACATGTGCATACAACACTCACACACTCCTGTCCCAGCCCCCTCTTCCCCTCCACCCTTCCCCAGCCAACTGGCTGTAGGTTCCCAGAAGGGGCTTCTTCCCTGTGGTGGAAACACAGGCTCTTTTGATGCTGCCTGATTTAGAAATGGTTCAAGGACTTGGGGATGTTCCTGACTGATAATTGTAAAAAGACACTTAGTTACACATGCCGAGGTGTGGAGAATGTTAGGCACAGAATTTTTGTTTCAAGTAGAGCAGAGTAAATTTAGAATTGAATTACAATCAAAGTCAGTGGCATAAGCACAACATTTTGTTAGATTTTTGGCATTTCCCCTAAAATTACTTTTCTTCAGTCTGTAGATTTGAATTTTAAATAGGATTCCTCAGATTTTTTTCTACAGTATTTTAAATGTCAGATCAGGAGATTATTTGAGTCACTTCCTCAAAAGTTCACACTGACCTCGTCTCACCAAGCACACGCCCTCCTTACCATCCTGCCACCCCCTCACCCACCTTGCCCAGGGTCTAAGCACACGCCTTCCTTCCTGTCCTGCTGCCCCCTGCCCACCTTGCCTAGGGTCCATGACATCCCTTCCCCCAGAGACCACATCCCATTCAGCCTTACGGGATGCAGCTCTGTGATTTTTGAGTAGCACCACCTCTGTCTTCCTGATGTGGGCATCTCTACCACCTGGAACCGCCCTTGGGCCCTGACACTGCTGCCATGGGCAGTGTCCCATGTGTCCCTTCCAGGGTGTCACATTCATGAAGCTGTGGGAGCGCAGCTGCTGGTGTCTCCTCCTTCCTGTCTGTGTGGCGCATTGGAGGTATCCGTGTCACCTGTGTCTGCAGCACTTTCCCTCTTAGCATGAGTCACATTCCCCCCTGTGGACGGACCATCCGGTCACCAGCGGGAGCACATCCAGGTCCTTTCTTGCCTTCAGCAATCACAGATAAAGCTGATGTAAACACCCACAACCCAGTTTCTGTGTGAGTGTGTTTTATTAGATAAACACTCAGGCGTGGGTCTTTGTTGGAAACTCACCATGCTGTTTTCCTCACCCTCCATGCCAGGTTGCATCCCCATCAGCACTGGATGAGATTTCCAGGGGCCACGAGTGCAGTCAGGCAGGCATGTGGGGTGGGGTTTGCTGTTTTTAGTGTGTCTGGTTGGTGTGCACCGGTGGCTCGCAGGGCTTAGTTTTCGATTCCCTAATGACAGAGGGTGCTGAGGCTGTTTCCTATGCTGCATTGCACGCCTGCGCACCCATGTGGCACCTTTGGTGGCTGTTCACATCTGCCATGCATTAGATCAAGCAAGTTCTCTGTTTCTGAGTGCCGAGTTTGAGGACCCCTGCTGTGCCCTGGATGCAGGTTCCTCATGAGACTGTTTTAGGCTCCACAGCGGGGCCTCAGCTCTGGCTCCTGCTCCCCTCTTCAGAGCTCTGGCAGCTGCCCCCCTGCCCTACCCCACCTGCTCTGCTTCCTCCTGCCCCTCACGCCAGTGGACCCAGATCCTGTGCTCGCCTCACTGCTCGCTCCAGCGGCCAGTCTGTCTGCTGCCATCCCCTGGGGATGAGCCAGGCTCAGTGGCTCTATGAGCACCTGGTGAGCCGATGAGTGGCTATGTGGCCTGTCTTACCTGCAAGAACAGACAATTTGACCAGGTGGTTGGGTCACAAAGAACGTAAACAGGCAAAGTTTGGTCATGTTTTCAGGTTGCTGCCAACAAGCAGTGCTCAAAAGTTATGACCTGTCAATAAGGAATTCACATGGGCCTGGATCTGAAGTTTCATTGGAGCCCAGTTTTCCCGTTTCCTAAGAAAAGAGGTGCGCATCATGTAGAAATATAATTCATACCAGGTAATTTGTCGTTAGCTTTGCAAACACTGCGTAAGTTTCCAGTTAACAGCACTGAAATAAACCTCTGCCTTCAAAACCAAGCTTCGTGCTGGGAGGATTGGGAGGGCATCACTTACCCTTCTGAATTTGGTTACTTACCCAAAGAGAGTGCCCTTCTCAGGTGGAAGCACAAGTTTACGCTTGGCATGTATCTGACGATCACACTGCCAGCCGTGAGCAGCAGATGGCTTGGTGACAGCAACTCCAGAGTTCTTTCTGCTTTGAGATTATCCCTCTGAAGATTGTTTTCCTTGGCAATGCCTCGAGTATAAAGGAAAGCCCCTCTTGGTGCTGGTGAGTGGCCAGCCAGAGCTTTTCACACAAGAGGACAGAGTTTGAGAGTTTGCTCTTCTTAAAGCCTGGCTTAGAAACGAGCAGGATTCCCGGTGGATGAACTCTATAACATGACAGCCTTCTCCTCTGCCCTCCATTCTCCTGTTCTGCCTCAGAGCTTGTACCTGTTTTGCTTTGCTTGTATGTTTCATGTGTGTTTGGAAAGATGGAAGCTTGAATGGAAATTGTCAGAAATACTACGTTGTGCAAATGGACTGGAAAACCTGGTTAGCATTGTTTGAAGCCAGCAAGGTCCCACATGTGGTGCATAGACCCATTCTGAGTTAGCCTGGGGTGTTACAGAAGAAGTAACTTTTCTTTCTTTCTTTCTTTCTTTTTTTGAGACAGAGTCTTACTCTGTCGCCCAGGCTAGAGTGCAGTGGGGTGAACTCAGCTTACTGCAACCTCCGCATCCCAGGTTCAAGCGATTCCCCTACCTCAGCCTCCTGAGTAGCTAGGATTACAGGCATGAGCCACCACACCCAGATAATTTTTTGTATTTTTAGTAGAGAGGGTTTCACCATATTGGCCAGGCTGGTCTCCAACTCCTGACCTCAGGTGATCTGTCCGCCTTGGCCTCTGAAACTTCTGAGACTACAGGCATGAGCCACCGTGCCTGGCCTATGTCTGCTATAATATTAAGTACAGAAAAACAGGCTTCAGAGCCATATAAGCCCATGTGCTGCGTAACAGCGTGTGAGTCCATGATACACCGCGTGGGGAAGGGTGATCCCCTCATGATATCACTGCGTTTTCCCTGTACCTTTTCTGTGTTTAGAAACATAAACGTTCATCATTGTGCTGCAGTTTCTGCATGTTCACTGCAGTCACCCGCTGCATAGGCTTGTAGCTCAGGAGCCTCACATAGGCTATGTCGCACAGCCCAGGTGTGGAGGAGGCTGCACCATCTGAGTTTGTGTACGTCACTGCAGGATATTCACATGGCAATGAAATCACCTAGCAGCGGGTTTCTCAGAATGCGTCCCCACTGTTCAGCAGCGCATGACTGTACCCATAACCGGTGGTACCCCACCTTTTTGGCACCAGGGAGTATTTTTGTGGAAGACAATTCTTCCATGGATGGGGCAGGGAGCAGGTTGGTCTCAGGATGAAATTGTTTCACCTCGGATCATCAGACATTAGATTCTCATAAGGAGCGCACAACCCAGATCCCTCCCACGTGCAGTTCACAAAAGGGTTTGCCCTCCTTTGAGAATCGATGCGGCCACTGATCTGACAGGAGGTGGAGCTCAGGCAGTAATGCTCGTTCGACAGCCACTCACCTCCTGCTGTAGGCCCAGTTCCTAACACGCTACAAAGCAGTACCAGCCTGTGGTCCAGGGCGTGGATACCCTTGCCCAGCATCATCCAGTATTTCTTTGGAAACACCCATAAGCCTGGGTACCCATAAAGCTCTGTTCAGTTCCCAGTGAACCCCTCCCTGCCTGTTCTTGGTCACGCTTCCCTCATTTTGCAGACTTTCCACAGTGGATCGTCATCAGGAAGAAAGGTACAGCTGGGCATGGTGGTGCATGCCTATAATCCCAGCACGCTGGAAGGCCAAGGGGGTGGATCACCTGAGTCCAGCAGTTCAAGACCACCCTGGCCAATATGGTGAAACCTCATCTCTATTAAAAATACAAAAATTGGCCTGGTTTGTCTTTTCATTTTGTGGCAAGATGTTTGGAGATTATGTATGTAAGGACTTGTCTCCAGAGTGTAGAAAGAGCTCTTGAAACTCAGCAGGAAAACAATCCAGTTTTCTAAATGTGCAGAAAACAATTTGGAAAGACCATTGTTCACCAGGGAAGATAACACAGGCAGCACACAGACCCATGAAGAAGACGCTCAGTGTCGTTAGTCATTGGGGAATGCAAACGAAAACCACACGGAAACGCCGCGGTACCTCTCAGACAGGTTTCAGTTCAAGACTGACTGCACCACGTGCAGGTGAGAATGAGAAGGAGTGCAGACTGGCACAGCCACTTTGGAAAATGTTTGGACAGTTTCTGAAACGGTTAAATGTGCACCTTCCATGTGACCCAGCCCTTCCACAGCTGGTATTTTCCCCAGCACAGTGAAAGCACAGGCCACACAGACTGGCCCTGGAAACCACTCGAATGCTCCTCCACAGAGGAGTGGGCAGTAAACTGGCATCTCCACAGAACAGGCCATTCCCCAGCTTCAGACAGGAGTGAAAGCATGGACAGACCTCAGAAAACCACACAAAGTAAAAGAAGCAGAGAAGGAAAGAGTGAACCACAGGCCTCCCCACTCGCGTAAAGCTCTGGAAAGTGCAGCCCAGTCACAGGACTCCGGATCCAGGGGTGCCAGAGTACAGTGGGGGCCGCGCTGCAGAGAAGCAAGGGAAGCCGGGCGGAGGATATGGCCATCACCCCCACCACGGCAATGGCTTCGCAGGCATGTCCATGCTGAGACCTCGGTCTGATCATCGACATCGGCACATGTGGCGAGTGTGTTACTTGCATCTCTGTGTGGCTGTAAACGTTTGGTTTTTGAGACAGGGTCTCGCTCTGTCATCCAGGCTGGAATGCCACCTCAGCCTCCTGAGTAGCTGGGACTACAGGCGTGCACCACTGCGCTTGGCTAATTTTTTTTATTTTTATAGAGATTGGGTCTTTGCCGTGTTGCCCAGGCTAGTCTTGAACTCCTGGGCTCTAGTGATTTGCCTGCCTCAGCCTCCACAGTGCTAGGACTGTAGGCATACACCGCCCATGTGAATGTTCTTAATGAATGGTGCATTTGGCAGCTTTGCGCCCACGCTGAGACTCATTTTGAAATTGTGAGGCTGAAACTCACAGATATCCATTAAATGCAATGTGCAGTGAGTTGAGTTGTTTAGGTTTGGCTTGTGAATTTCTCCTCCTCCTTTCTTATTTTCATCCCAGAGCATCGTCCTCTGCTGGGCTGTCGGGAGCTTGTCTTCAGGAACCTCTCCAAGATCCTCCCCGCGTTGTGCCACGACATCACCGACTGGGTGGTGGGGACGCGAGTGAAGTCAGCGCAGCTGCTGCCTGTGCTGCTGCTGCATGCCGAGGACCACACCATACAACACCTGGAGATCGTCCTCCGGACCCTGTTCCTGGCCTGCGCTGACGAGGAGACAGCCGTGGTCCATAGCGTGAGTGGCCATGTTCCAGTTGTGGTTGCAGAGCTCTAACTCAAGCTAAGATCCTGCCCCTGTGGCGTGCAGGGCCCAAGGCTATGAGAGACACAGTCGGGAGGTCACAACTGCAGCCGAGACAGTGTTCCCCTCACCCCTGGGTTGCAGCCCTTCCCCACGCCCAGTCCCTGGGGACCACTGGTCTTTCTGTACCTGTAGAAAACAGTGTGTTGAGGGTGGATCCTCCATGCCCGTCTTCAAGCATACTCAGGCATGCAGTGCCAGCTGTGTGTTGTGTAAATGAGCCTTGCGCCAGACAGGGCCCAGGCTGCTGACGCAGGGCCAAGACACCCGGAGTTCAGCTTTGACATTCGGGCAATACTGAGGGCCCTTCCAGGCTTTGCAAGGGCTGTGGGGGCACGGGGGCGGGGGTGTGGCACAGCCTCAGGTGTCCTGCATGTGACGCCCCTGGGGCCATCCTCTTTCTCACTCTCTGTCCACATCCGGCTGGTGGTTATCACCTCTGCGAGGGTGGGTACACACAGGGAAGTCCCATGCTCCGGCCGCTCCTCCTCACTCAGCCAGGCCATGCCTTGTGCTGACAGTCACCACTCCGGGGGTCTTCACATCCACCCCACAAGAACGCCTCCTAGTGCGCGGGAGAAAAACTAAAGTTTTCATTTAAGGTTTCAGTCCAGAATATCCTGATCTTGAGTCTTTAATTCCATCACAAAGACACCTTGCCAGTAGCTTTTCCTTTTAGTAGCCAGGCATGCTGGTGCACACCTGTGGTCCCAACCTGGTCAGGAGGCGGAGGTGGAAGGATCGCTTGAGCCTGGGAGGTCAAGGCTGCAGTGAGCTATGATTGGGTCACTGCACTCTAGCCTAGGAGAGAGAGTAAGACACTGTCTTAAATAAAACAAAAAAAAATTTAAATCATTGTTACTGATTCAAAGTAATGTTTCAGCTTCCATGTTTAAAAACAGATTATATTAAGCTTGTAATTTACATGTCATGTTTTTACTCTTCAAAAACTACCATGGATTTAAAATTGTCTGTAGTCCTCTGTGGAATCTATGAGAGAGCGAGAGACACGGCGGAGGGGTGAGGTGGAGACAGGACAGGAGACATGGCTGTTCAGGGTAGTGCGTGGGAGCCCCCGGGCAGTCAGCATCCAGCCCAGCCTCTGTGCTGGGCTTCTCCCCACTGTCGGGCTGGATTTAAAACTCTAGCAAGTGGAATTTGTGTGAGAGGGGCTTGAAGGTAGGCATTTGAGTTCTGACTTTTCTGTATTTCGAGGGGTGGAGGTTAGTTGATTTTTTTTTTTTTTAACTTTCTATTTTGAAACAGATTTCCAGTAAGTTGGGGGAAATTGCACAAAGAGCCCCCTGTGCCTTTGCCCACTGTCCTGGGACATCCATCTTCCCTGAGCAGGACAGTATCAAAACCAGGACGTGCGTGGCTGCTTGTCTGTGTTTGTAGTCCCACGGGTCCCTCAGGCAGCCCCTGCCGTCACACCCCCTCCCTGGCACCACGCACCTGCTCTCCCTCCCCGTCCCTGGGTCATTGTGAGCATGTTTTATATGTGTACTCAAACACTGTGCAGTATTTTTGGCCTTGGCTTTTGTCACTTGTCAGAAGGGCCTGATATTAACCCATGCAGTTGGGTGGTCAGCCACTGTTCCTTTTCATTGGCAGTGGAATTCCATGGTGCAGAGAGGTGCTGGTGTGTATTAATCCACTGTGGAATTCCAGGTGCAGAGGTGCTGGTGTGTATTGATCCACTGTGGAATTCCAGGTGCAGAGGTGCTGGTGTGTATTGATCCACTGTGGAATTCCAGGTACAGAGGTGCTGGTGTGCATTGCTCCACTGTGGAATTCCAGGTGCATAGGGGCTGGTGTGTATTGCTCCACTGTGGAATTCCAGGTGCAGAGGGGCTGATGTGTGTTGATTTGCTTAGCCATGGGAAGGTTGGGTCACTGGCATCCAATGGGGGCGCATGTGGTGAACGTGCTGCCGGGACACAGACTTCCTTTGGACCAGACTTCAACTCCTGGGGGATGTGTCCCACTCGCTGGCTGTGAGCCTGGCCTCAGGGTTCTAAGATCACACGAGGACTCTTGTGCCTTTCGTGAGGGCTCTGAGCGCATGCCAAGGACTCACTCCGCTTAACACAGGGCTGTGTCTGGTGCACGGGAGGCCACAACACTGAGAGCAGGAGGCCAGGCTCAGACCTTCGGGTTTGGGTCTGAGTTTTCTCATATTTTTTTTCTCACAGTGTTCAAGATCCGCAGAGCTCATCGGGACGTTTGTCAACCCTGAGGTATTTCTGAAGCTGATCTTACCGATGCTGAAGAAGGGGCCTTCCGCCTCCAGCCTCCTGGTGCTGGCCTCCACCATTCGGGGCTGCCCCCGAGAAGCCCTCCAGCCGCACCTCACAGCCATTGCCACGGAGCTGGCACAGGCCCACATCTGCCAGGCATCTGAAAACGTAAGAGTACTTAGCAGTGGGGAGGAGTGAAGAAGAGGAGGAGTCTCCCTTGCCGGGCCATCTGCCATCATTCCCACATGTTTGTGGGTCCGCCCCGTGCCTCCAGGCTGAGCCGTCAGAAATACCAGTGGTAGCCGGAGTGCCCTTAGTTGGGGTGCCCTTAGCCGGAGTGTCCTCACTGAAGCCCCTCGTCGGGGGGCTTCGCCCTGTGCTGTGCAGAGCTACAGCCTCAGCCCCAGCCCTAGCCTCAGGTGGCCACTCAAATTTACATTGGTTGCTGCCCCTTTTTTTGGCCATGCTGGCCACACTTCACGTGATAGATGACTCAGGACGTGTCCACGGCTGGGACCCACTGGCCCGTGCTGCTGGGGGTGGATGCAGGGTCCATGTCTTCCCACCCCGGAGGAGTGCAGTCACATGTCCGCTATCCCACCCAGTCCCCACGGTATCTGCACAGATTGTACGTCTCAGAGTGCACCGGCAGCCTGTTCTCCATCAGCGCTGCCTGGCGTTCCGATCTGTGCTTCAGATAGCCCAGTTGCAGATTTGCTAGAAACATTTGTTTAATTTTAAATTGAACAGCAAAGTCTTGACCTCAGAAGATGAAATAGCCTAGGTAGTTGGGCTTAATTGTTTGGAATACTCCATGATTGTTTTCTATGGAAGAAGAAATATGACTTTCCTTTGGTTTGGAGGTGATTAGTCCCCATCTATGTGTGTGTTGAACCCAGCACCCCAGACCTTTTTAGGACACAGGGCTGCCCCCACTGGGTGGCCATGCAGAGTGAGCCTCAGCATTTGCTCCAGTTGGATCGTTTCTGGCAGCTTCTATAGCTCCAAAGCTGGACGGACTGCTGGGACTTGCAGCTCTGCTGTCAGCCCGGCCCATCCTGTGTCAAGCTCACCTCTGTCCTCAGAATGAGAGGTGGGGGTGTTCACAGTCAGCCTGGCCCATCCTGTGTCAAGCCCCCTCTGTCGTCAGAACAAGAGGTGAGGCTGTTCACAGTCATTATAAACTGTTTTAAGAAGCCTGTAAGCAGTTCCTGGAATACAGAGAGGGAAGGAAATGGAACTAGGGTCGGGAAGGGAGTGGGGCTGGGCCGTGTGCTCATGGCATTTCAGCCACGTTTCAGCTTTTCCCAAGACCTGTTTTTAACACATCATCAAATCTATGTCAGTTCTGCGCTTTCCTCTTACTCACAAGGGGTTCTGAAGATGGTTTTGATTCCTGTATATAGATTTATAAGCCAGAAGTATTTTTTTCTTGAGGGATATAACTTGAAAATGTGCACAAGTGCCTAAGCCCTCGCCTTACAAACTTTATAGCCAAGAAAATGTGATTTTCACATCTTCACATTGGTTACAGGAAAACGGAATTATGTAGACCCACGGCTGTGTGTTTGGCTCCCCATCTTCCAGTGTTATGGAGGAAAAATTTATTTAGCAATTGTTCAGACAGAGACCTCTTCTGACAATGTCCAGTCACACAGGCCCCCTGGAGAGCCAGCCTCAACCTCCCAGGCTAGGAACATCTGTGGACCCTTTGGCCAAGGAGCCAGTCACAGTGAAACCCAAGACATACATTTCACTGCTTTCTATGTTTATTTTTTTGTTTTAGAATGATCCTCCCACCTCAGCCTCCTAAGTTGCTGGGACAACAGGTGTGTACCACCACACCTGGATACTTTTTAAATTTTATTTATTTTTATGTATTTATTTTTGAGATGGAGTCTTACTCTGTCGCCCAGGTGTAATCTCGGCTCACTGCAAACTCTGCCTCCCGGGTTCAAGCAATTCTCCTGCCTCAGCCTCCCAAGTAGCTGGGATTACAGGTGCACGCCACCATGCCTGGCTAAGTTTTGTATTTTTAATAGAGACGGGGTTTCACCATGTTAGCCAGGCTAGTCTCGAACTCCTGACTTCCAAGTGATCAACTCGCCACGGCCTCCCAGAGTGCTGGGATTACAGGCATGAGCCACCACGCCCGCCTCCTTTTCTTAACAGACTTAAATTTTTGGCAAGAAAGGGTGAACGCACTCAGGTGTCAGGCACATGGCTCCGTGCTCTCTTCCATGGCTGGCCAGGCTTTGTTTGTGTCATGTCGTTTGGGAAGTCGATTATGTTTCCCACAATTATTCTCCAGTAGCTATTAGAACAGGTTAAGAATGTCTTTCAAGAACAAACTGAAATTGTTTTAAAGCCCTGTGTTAAACAGAGAAGTTGTGAAGATGTATTCTAAACTGAGCCTGACTTCACTGAGCCTCCCTGCCCTGGGTTCGCTGGGAATCTGATTTTAGCAGTAGGTACTTCCCAGGTGTCTTGGGCCCAGCAGGGAAACGAGCTCGACCAAGGGGAACCGGAGTCTCCTGGGAAAGAGTTTAGCACAGGCGCCCGAAGTAAGGAAACGGGTATCTCACCAATTCGGTTCTCACGCAGGGAAGCCGGCAGTTCTGGGATCCCCTTGCTAGTGCCAACAAAAAGAGTCTCTTGTACTTTAGTGAATTAAAAACTTTTGCAATCTTAGATAACACTGTTTCAGAAAGCAGTGTTTGAAATAGTATTTCAAAAAATACTGATAATTATTTTTTGCTGTATCTTTTTTTCTTTTTCATTCTGTCTGTGTGGGGGGGGCAGACACTGAAAATTATTTAATCATATATAGAGAAATCCATAAATGTTAAGTCTTGTCACTTCCTCAGAGACGGTGCTGCATTCGTGGCGGGAGGGTGGTGCCTGCTGCAAAGGATGCCTGGTTCCCCGTCAATTCCTGTGGAATTCCCATGCCTGGAGGTGCTGTCAGCCAGGAGCAGCTGTGTCTTCTAAACTCTACTGCCTTCTGATTTTAACCGAAAAGATGGTAGCTCCTGAAGTGTACATGACAGGTCATTCTAGAAACTAGCCAGACAGTGTCCTCAGAAGTCAGTCAGTCAGTGCAGGCCTCAGAGAAATTGGGCCATGGGGAAAATTAGGAATGGAATAAAAACAGAAATCCGTGGCTTCTGTGAGAATTGGGGCAGTCAGTGCCCACAGCCCAGCTCCGAGGTAGACGGTGCCACACAGCTCCGCATCTTCTGTGGATAAGGCCAGGGGTCTGGGGTGCAAAGACTGAACAGTGCTGTGATACAGTGGGAGTGTTTTGTTTAGCCTTCCGTGATTTAGATCAGTGGTGAATGAGTCATAGAGTTTTAGAACTGATTCAGAAATTTAGAACCAACCCATTATCTGGTCAAATAATTACCAAACTTTTTGAACTCACACTCCCATTAGTAAAAACACTTTAAGTATAGACCTCCAATATGTGTACACTGTTGATAAATCATGTGTTTAAATTATATACATGACCACTGTCCTGATTCACTCTTTATGAAACATACATAAAATAGACATTAGAGGGACGTTATAAGAGGTAACTACAGGCCAGGCCTGGTGGTTCACGTCTGTAATTCCAGCACTTTGGGAGGCCAAGGCAGGAGGATCACCTGAGGCTATGGGTTTGAGGCTGCAGTAAGCTGCGATTGCACTGCTGCACTCCAGCCTGGGTGACAGAGCAAGACCCTGTCTCTAAAAAATAAATTAAAATTTATTATAAAAGAATTAAACATATATGCAAATTCTTAGGGATTCTTGGGTCCCCTCCAGCACACACCTGCTGCGTTGCAGGCTTCACATCCTGGCTGAGCCTCAGTAAATGAGGCTGGAGCCGGGAGGGGAAGCCGTTCAGCCAGCACAGCCTCAGGTGCAGAGCCAAGACTCTACCTCCCTGTCAATCAGGAAACTTTTGTTTCTTTGTTTCTGTTGTTGTTTTTGAGACAAAGTCTTGTTCTGTCACCTAGGCTAGAGTGCAGTGGCATGATCTCAACCCACTGCAACCTCTGCCTCCCGGGTTCAAGCGATTCTCCTGCCTCAGCCTCCTGAGTAGCTGGGATTACAGGCACCCACTGCCACGCCTGGCTAATTTTTTGTATTTTTAGTAGAGATGGGGTTTCACCATCTTGGCCAGTCTAGTCTCAAACTCCTGACCTCGTGATCCACCTGCCTCAGCCTCCCAAAGTGCTGGGATTACAGGAGTGAGCCACCGCTCCCAGCCAGGAAACATTTTTAAACCACAGAATTTTATCTTTCTTAAAATTTCGTGTTATAGAAATATCCAGAAGTGCACAGACGAGGGACAAGCAACAGAAGGAAGGTCCGCTGGCTTCAGTGCTGACCAACTCTTTCCATTGGTGTTCTGCCTGCCTGGGGCCACTTTTCTTTTTAACTTTGGAGGGTGGGGAGAACCTGAGCGTGTTATAAAGCAGATAATGTGACGCACCAGCATTTCACTTACAGATACCACTGTATGCATCACTAACACAGCATCTTAACCACACAGCTAAAGTGCCTGTACACATTTCATAAAATAAGTACACAGTCCTTATCTCCCGTCCATGTTCAGTTTCCCATCGTCAAGCACGCCCTTTTATGGTTGATATGCCGGCGCCCCCCATCTGGCTCCTGAGGCTGTCCCTGTGGGGGTTTTTCCCATACCTGCTGCTCTCGTGAGCCCCCCATCCGGTGCCTGGGGCTGTCCCCATGGGGGCTCTCCCATACCCGCTGTTCCTCATGAGCGGTAGACTAGGAGCCCCAGGAGGCTCTGTCAGCCCTGGTGCTAGGGCCAGGGGCTGGGGCCCTGTCATTAGTCCATTCTCATGCCGCTAATAAAAACATACCAGAAACTGGGTAATTTAAAAGAAAAAGAGATTTAATGGACTCCCAGTTCCACATGGCTGGGGAGGCTTCACAATCATGGTGGAGGAGCAAAGTCACGTCTTACATTGTGGCAGGCAAGAGAGCATGTGCAGGGGAACTTCCCTGTATAAAACCTTCACATCTCATGAGACTTACTATCATGAGAACAGCACGGGAAAAACCTACCCCATGATTCGGTTACCTCCTGGGACACATGGCGATTATGGGAGCTATGGTAAAGATGGGACTTGGGTGGGGACATGACCAAACTGTACCAAGCCCTGACAGTGCTGCTGATCTCTTCCAGGACCTCTACCTGGAGCGTCTGCTGCTCTGCGTGCAGGCCCTGGTATCCGTGTGTTATAAGGACTGCAGCACAGCCAGCTTGCAGCTCATGGACGTGCTGCTGACCATAATGGCCCTCGCAGGTTCCACCAGCCTCAGGGACAAGGTAAGGCTGATGGCGGTAGTGGCTGCTTGGCCTAGTGGAGCTCACAGCTGGAAGGCATCTCTCTCTAAGTGAGATGAACCATCTCCCACACATCCCCTCTGCGCTTGAGCCTAGGCCTCAAGCATGTCTGACCAGCAAAGACTAGGGGTTGAGAGCCTTGTGGATGACTCCCTGGGCGACAGCCTTCAGGGCAGCCCTCCAGCTCCCAGTGTATTCTGCCATCGGGGAGTGAAGACAACTATTTAATTTTAGGGTCTACAGCAAAGAAGCAAACAAGAAGTAAGACATGATAACCTTTAAACCTGTGCGTTTGGGATTTAATAGTCCACAAGTGACTGTGAGTCTGGGGAGAAGATGCCATGATTTCCCGCTCTAATTGCAGCACAGCTTTCAAAAGTATTTGCTGCCCATCAGCTCCCTGTTTATGCCCCAAAATCATCCTTTTTTTTCAATGGAGTCTCGCTCTGTCATCCAGGCTGGAATGCAGTGATACAATCTTGGCTCACTGCAACTTCCACCTCCTGGGTTCAAGGGATTCTCCTCCCTCAGCCTCCTGAGCAACTGGGACTACAGGCACGTGTCACCATGCCCAGCTAATTTTTGTATTTTTAATAGAGACAAGGTTTGCCACGGTGGCCAGGTTGGTCTTGAACTGACCGCAGGTGATCTACCCGCCTCGGCCTCCCATCGTACTGGGATCCCAGTCATGAGTCACTGCACCTGACCATTATGACCAAAAATCTTCTAACCCCAACCTCCCCGTGGGCTCCTGGGGCTCCTGGAGGTCCCGGTATCTGCCTCTCTGAAAGCTGAGACTCAGTTCTTCCCCCCATTCTGTCTATGTGGACGATCCCTCTCGGCAGGTTCTCTCTTGGGAGATTCATGGCCTGAATGCACCACGGAGAACGTGGAGGAGGCTGCTGCTCCCCCTTCTCTTCCTGGGTTCTCTTTAAAAACAAGCTTTCCAAGGGCATGTGTCTCAGCAGACGCTGTCACTGATGGGGCCTTAGGTACCAGCAAAAGTAGAGACTTTGCCTGCTGTCCATTGGGGAAGAAGCCAGGCAGCCCCAGATTCAGACTCCAGGCTTCGGGCAATGACCTCTGGGGAGCCTCAGCCCTTCCTTTGTTTCTAAGTCCCCAAAGAGAACAGCACAGCTAAAAGGTAGCCAAGGTTGTCATCTCTGTTCACCAAGTTACTTTTACGTGGAGGTCTGCTCTGCTGGGCTTAACTCTCTAAGCCACTTGCCCACGCCTGTCTGTCTCTCACTGCCTCAGAGTAGCTCTGCCTGCTCAGGCAGATGCCCAGGGACCCCCTGTGCTATGTGTGTCCTAGGCACGCACAGTGCCTGCTTCATGATTCACTGCAGAGATGGCGTTAGCGCAAACAGGATCAGGATCTCGCCCTGTGCCCACAGCCCTCACTTTCCTGCACCCTGGGAAGGGCTCCATGTGGCAGCCTCCCTCCCGATTATCCCACCAGGCCCAGCCTGTGTGGTTCTTACGTGAGGGGAATGGTCAGTCCCAGCAAGGAGGCTTGAGCCCTGAGTGTTGGAATTGTCCCAGCCTCTGACTTGTAACCTCCAGGCACAGGAGACAATGGACTCGCTGGCCGCTGCGGAGGGCATCAGCAGCTGCCAGGACCTTTACCGCAAGTACATGGGCCCTCTCCTGGAGCGGGCGACTGCATCGCACCTCGACTGGACCGCGCACTCACCAGAGCTCCTGCAGTTCAGTGTCATCATCACGCAGTCAGGTGAGCCCTCCCAACAGCCGGCGAGCCGTGCCTGGCCCCACTCAGTCCACACACCTGCTCCCCCGGGGTTCAGCAGATACCATTGTCAACCAGCTGAGCTATGGTTCACTGAGGCATGTTTTTAAAAGTACCCAGTAGTCACTCTTGACTGTGGAGAATGAGCATTTTCAGGAACAAAACCTTTTAAAAGCTCCAGAAACATCACATTGAAGACTGGGATGCAGCTCTTCCGGTTGGCCTGGGCATACATGTTCATGTGAAACCTTCAAAGTATGGTTTTTCCTGGCCTGTTTTGTGGCCTGGCTTCTTAAATACATCTGGATTTTGTTGCAGAATGCAGATGTCCAGCTATGTGGGTGCTGTGCGTGTGTGACGTGGAGGCCTCAGCCCCAACCCCTTTGAGACCAGCATTTCTGTGGTTCTACCTGAGCCTGCAGATCGGCCACTCTCCTGGGATGGACACTGTGGCTCGATGGGGCTTCAGAGCCGGGCAGAATCCGCTGCAGAACTCTGAGGCGGAGGTGTCCATTCAGCGGCCATAGTGCCTTGGGACACACAGCCCATGCTGTTCCCTGTGGCCGTGAACACGCCACGGTAGCTTTTCCTCGTTTGCTTCCTTGGCTCTCCCGCTCCTGTGCACAGCTCCCAAGTGCTCCTGCCTCCTACTGGATGCGTGCACCAGGGTGTTCGTGTTCTGTGTCTGAGGACACTAAGATTGTTCTTATGCCATCTCTGTGCTTGGTAGGGACTCACCATTTTTCCTGAGACCTGGAAAAATACCCAGAATTGTTCTTCATCAGCTGCATTCAAGATTTTGCAAATTAGAAAAGCAAATGCTATCTGGTGCAGTGGCTCACACCTGTCATCACAACACCTTGGGAGACAAGGTGGGAGGGCCACGAGCTTGGGAGTTCAAAGCCAGCCTAGCCAACATGGCAAGACCTCTACATCTACAAAAAGATGAAGAAAAAAATTCCACATGTACCTCAGAATCTAAAATTGAAAAATAAATAAAATACAGTTAGCCAGGCATGGTGGTATGTACCTGTGGTCCCAGCTACCCAGGAAGCTAAAGTGGGAGGATCCCTTGACCCCAGGAGTTGGAGGCTACAGTGAGCTGTGACTGCACCAGTGCACCCTAGGCTGGGCAACAGAGCAAGACCCTGTCTCTGAAACCAAAAACAAAGCTGAGGATTGCTGGCGTGCACTCAGGGCATTAAACACTTTGTGCCAAACACTGCTCTATGAGCCTGATGGCCGTCAGCTCATCTCCCCTTATAGCTGGCCTGTGTGGTAGGAACTGTGACCCTGTTTTACAGATGAAGAGACGGCATGGAGAACTCCCGAGGCAGTGACCCCAGGGCCTTCCCTCAGCCCCTCTCCAATGGGCCTCTTGGGGAGGGGGCCCCGGGTATTCCATTTCACATTTTTACTGAATGTTACTCATAACAACTCTTGCACCAAATTACTGCAGCCTTCACCCCACAGTCCAGAGAATGGCACGCAAACCCTGAGAGACTCAGCTTACAGTGAAGCCAGGACTCGCTTGTGCTGCAGCTCTGGTGGTTTCTCCACCACCTGCTCTTCCTCTTTGCAGCTTTTAAAGCATTTCTTACGGTGTTGGCAGAACCAACTCGCAGCATGGAAAATGCGTTTATGTGGGCCCACATCTCCTGTCATCCACTGAAAGGCAAGAAGACTGTGCTGTGCTGTTCAATATCAAGAGCTGGGTATAAAACTGCAATTTTTTTTTTTTTTTTTTTTTTTGAGACAGGATCTTGCTGTGTCACCCAGGCTGGAGTCCAGTGGTACAATCACAGCTTACTGTAGCCTTGAACTCCTGAGCTCAAAGGATTTTTCTGCCCTAGCCTCCTGAGTAGATGGGACTGTAGGTGCCTACCACCTGGCTAATTTTGTATTTTTTGTAGAGATGGGATCACGTATGCTCCCCAGGCTAGTCTTAAACTCCTGGACTCAAGCCATCCTCCCACCTCAGCCTCCTGAGTAGCTGAAACCACAGGCACCCACCACCATGACTGGCTAATTTTTGTATTTTTTGTAGAAACGGGGTCTCTTTATGTTCCTAGGCTGGTCTCAAACTCCTAGGCTCAAACAGTCTACCCACCTCAGCTTCCCAAAGTGCTGGGATTACAGGCATGAGCCACCGCACCCGGCCTAAAGCTGCAGTTCTTTAATCCCAGTGGTTATTTTCTCTGAGCCCCGCCTGAGCTCACACATGTGAGGTACGCTCAGGGATCCGGGGCACAACCTCACATAGAATACACTATTTCCAACATAGTGTCCTTGGGAGTTGATGATTTTTGTTTTCTTTTTTCTTTTTCTAATTTTTCTCTAATGAGCATGAACTACTGTAATAAAACAAAATGATTCAAACAATTTTTTTAATAGGAGACATTTTTTAATTTCTCATTTACAGAAGTTCTGTGGGAAGATACCTTTTAAATTTTAATTTTTTTAAACATACAGAAAGGGGTAACTTTCTAAACTTTGGGAGGATGGGGAACTGCAAAGGCATCTCTTTGACTGTATACATTTGAGCCAAAAGAAAAGGAACTTACACTTAGGAAAATATTTCCAGTAAGGATGACAGTGTGAGATCTTTGGTATATAAAGCTAGCACAAAGTGAGAATAAAAGCATTCAGAGTTGGGCATGGTGGCTCAGGCCTGTAATCTCAGCACTTTGGGAGGCTGAGGCAGGAGGATTGCATGAAGCCAGGAGTTGAGGCTTCAGGGAGCTGTGATTGTACCGCTGGACTCCAGCCTGGATGACAGTGAGACCATGACTCCAGAAAACAAAAAGCATTAACTCCCAAACAAACAGGCAAAATATCCAGATTTTATTAAACAGAGTTAATACAACTAACAAGCAAATAGAGTGGGAAGTATCCAGCCCTTCTAGTTATAAGGAAATATGAATTAAAGGCTGTAGCCTGCCATTTTTTCATTTATCCAACTTGGCAAAAATAAACAGCTTCTGCCCTGGGTGGCCCAGCTGGGAGCCTGGCAGTGCTGGGAGTGCCTTGGTGCTTTTGGAAAGTGGTCGGACGGTGGGCATCTGGAATTACCAGTTTTGGAAAACCCTCAGACATTGTGCTTCTGGAATTGCCAATGTCTTCACTCCTTTCATCCAGCAATCACATTCATGAGAATCTGTCCTTCCTAAGGAAATAATTCTACTTATGGAAAAAGTGATGTACCCAAAAATATGCATCAGGGCTCCATTTAACAGCAGAAATTGGAAGTGACCCAAATACCTCATAGGAAGTTAAATACATAATGATATTTCCACAGAAGACATGCCCTGGCAGCCTTTAGAAACAATTATCCTAAGGCTTTATAACAAAAGGCTTTATAACAAAATGGGAAGACAGGCGTGGCGTGAAATGAAGGGAAGATGAAGACAGCGGAAGCGTCCATGCCGTGAGCAGGAACGCTTGTGCTGGGAAGGCAGACACGTGGCCCAGGCTTCAGGTTTGGGTTTTCAACATTCTTGATACCAAGGGGCCCACCTGTCAGCACGCCTCTGCCCTTCCATCCTAGCAGTTGGACGTGACCCGTGGACACTGTTTTGGCTGTTTTCTGTATTTAAGCCAGAAACTCTGCCTTGTTTCTAGTTTAAAATGTAGAGAAGGTGAAACAGTCAGAAACTGGGTCAGAAACAGCATGGTTCTCGAGGCAGGGGAGCACTTGACCCAAGACTCCTGCCCTGGCAGGGCTCAGGTCAGGCGTTGCAGCGGCTTTGATGCTACCCCCGCTGCCTGGCCTTGTGGGGAGGCTCCAAGACACCAGCTGATCTCACTGCGGGGCCTGAGCTGGGCCTGACCTCGAGCCGGAGCAGCAGGCATGTTGCGTCTCCGTTTGTGGCAAGGGCAGGTGGGGGTCTCCAAGTCCACAACTGAACAGCCTGCTCTGATTGGTGGTGCCAGAGAAGGCTTGAATCACCCGGCACCTAGCAACGGCCCAAGGTCATGCACAGATGCTCAGATAAGCCAGTGGATGCTCCCTCCACACTGGCCCAGGGTCAGAGCACCTCTCTCTGTGGCCCCACCCACTCCCCACCCTGAACCTTCAGCTCTTGGGCCTGCAGACTGAGCCTAGTAGGAAACACTGCGGGAACCCTCAGGGTTGTCCGTTCCCTGTGGTTCGTGGAGACTTAAAGGGAGATGGGACGGCCACTCGGGGCGTAGGATGCAGATTATAGGTGCCCCTGCGCCTCGCACCCACTGGAGAGTGGCCCTGACTGTGGATGGGGTGACGCCTTAATGCTAAGGGCAGATATTAAACAACTTCTTCATTGGAACATTTGATGTGGGTTGTCCTTTCACCTATTGCTTGACTTTGATTTTTCAAAACAATTTAGAAAACTGTAAGAAAAATGGAAGGTTTTCATATGGAAGTGTGATTTAGGGGGGTTACAATTTTCTACTGTTTTTCTGTGATAATCACCTCACTGATTCAGAAAGAGGAAGAGGGGAGGTGGTGGCCGATAGAGCCCTCTCCCAGATGGGAGCACCCGTGCCTGGGCCTGTGCTGGATGGGGCCGCCTCCCGTCTCCCAAGGGCCGTGCCCAGGAGCCTGTGCTTTGTCTTGCAGGCCCTGCCCTAGGAGAAGCCCTGCCACAAATCATGCCCACGCTCAGGGCCTGTCTGCAGCCCTCCCGAGACCCGCAGATGCGCCTGAAGCTGTTCTCCATCCTGTCCACTGTGCTGCTCAGAGCCTCGGACACCATCGACTCCCAGGGGTAGGTCCAGGCTCTGCATCTGCACGGCCCCCAGCTGGGGCTTGGCCCAGGGGTCCCCACCTCCTTCCCCCCACACTAAGTCTAAGGTGGGCTGGAGGTCCCCACCTCCCTCCCCAATACCAAGTCTAAGGTGGGCCAGGATTTCTTACCTCCACCCCCAACACCACACTGGGCAAGGGGGTTCCCACCTCCACGCATACCACACTGGGCAAGAGGGTCCCCACATCTCTTCCCAACATTGAGTCTAAAGTGGGCCAGGGGTCCCCATCTCTGTCGCCCACACTGAATCTGAGGTGGGTCAGGAGTCCCCAACTCCCTGCCCCACACTGTGCTGGGCTAGAGGGTTGTCACCTCCCTCCCCGAAACTGTGTCTCAGGTGGGCTGGGGGTCCCCACCTCCCTGCCCCACACTGAGTCTGAGGTGGGCGTATGCAGTGACCCCTGAGCTTCTCTGGCCCGGAGCAGCCTATCCATCCTCACTGGGTAAACACAGGCTCTCAGCAGAGAATGCACAGAGAAACACTAAGTCCAAGTTGTCTCCATGTGGTCATTAAAATTCCAGTGAATGAAAAAGTTTAGGGAACATTAACTGTTAATGGTTTATGTATTAGCTGTTCTCTGTTTTAAAAGCCTTTTGGTATCTTTCAAACCTAACAGAGAATTGACTGAATTACCACTGATGGTCAGAGTGGTAGAAGTACCTCTCTATTACCTAAAATAAATTTTAGGTGGCGTTAAGACAGCAAGGGCCTCCAGTTGTACAGCTTTGAAGTGAGGAAGAGAAACACGGGTACCCCCTGGACACACTGGGAGGGTGGTGGAGGAAGAGGCCCTGCCCGGGTGCTGCTGCCTCCCCAGACGCACTGGGAGGGGCAGTGGAGGAAGGGGCCTCACTCACCTGGGCGTTGCTGCCAAGGCTGCTCTTAGCGCCCTCCTGTGTACTTTGTTACATGAGCAAAATGTGCAGTCACCCAGGTCCCACCCCAGCCTGTGCGGCTGGATCTGGGCTGCATCAGCACCAGAACCCACCCCACACCCCCGCCCCTGGGAGCAAATCCATCAGTGAAAAGCAGTTCACACACCAGAGCTTCATCTGGAAAGAATCCAGGCATTCAGACTTTTCTTTGTGATCCTCGTGTCTGCTCTTGGCCTCAGCTTGCCCGTCATACTGCAGGAAATTTTGTTTTCCTGCTTGTCTTCAGAAACTTCAGGGCTTAGAGGGAACCATGAAAAGATGTGAACCAAGAGCTGTGGCAGCCATCCAGCTTGCAGGCCGATATTCATGCAGATAACACCGCAGGGCCCAGGCGCTTCCCTCCGGAATGCACACCCAGCTGTATTTTGGGAGGAACCATGGGGCGAGTTCTGCCCAGGAACAGTTAACTGCGGAGCACAGCTTCCACGTCTGTCTGAGTTCCCAAAAGAAAGTACACCAAACGACTTCTTGTGGAGAGAAGTTGGTATCAGGAGAAGTAAACTGTTCAAATTACAGTGATTTTAGTGAACTTATTAGCTATTTTAATAGGAAGGATTTTTTAATCCGTTTGGTTTTTATTTTTAGAATCATAAAATAGCAAGTTGGCTGTGCCTAAATAGAAACGATAGCTGGGGAGTCAGTGCTGATCATCATCTGCGCCGAGCACTTTCCCGCTGCCAGCTGCTGTGAGCACCGGCTGTATGCAGGCGCCTGAGATGGCTGAGGGCTGCATCTCCCATGGTGGCTCCACCTTGGACACCATGAATCATGAGAGATTCTCAGAGCCTCCACCTGCAGGCTTTCTGTGTCTTATCTGAGACACTTTGGGACTAGCAGCGTTGAGGTTTTTAAAATTCTGAAGTAATTGCATTGTAGAACATCCCTAATCCAAGCTTCAGAAATCAAAAATGCTCCAGTGAATATCTCATTTGAGCATCATCTCAGTGCTCAGAAATGGTCAGACCCTGGTGCACTTTGGATTTTAGGGTGAAGGATGCTCAGCCTGTGTCTGACAGAAGCTCCAGAGAAGTGGCTGGGAGTTCAGGGCAACAGGTTCCTTGCTTTGAGAATGCACTGTTTTCGGGAGCCAAGCCCTGTACTGTACCTCAAGTCCCTCTATGAATAGGGTGCACTCAGGCAGGGAGCCTGGAGCACCTGCTTCTGGGTCCCCTGCTGGCCTCCTGACTCCGTAGTATCCTGGGGTCCTGCAGGCCTGGCTGTGCTCAGACCGGGAGCCCATGGACGCTGTGCTGAGGGCGCTTCTGTCTCTGTGTTTGTTCTTTTCCCTTGGGATTAGGCTGGCCAGGACACCCAGGAAGTTTCAGGGTGGAGACCATGAGGCTGTGGCCCTCAGCTCCATGCCTCACAGCTGACAGCTGGAAACATTTGACAACCTCAGAGTAGAAGCGCTTGCTGGAGAAGGCGATGTGCACAATTTAAGGAAGCGTTTTGCCCACCTAATACGGTTGCTCGGTGGAGCAAGGCCCTGCGACTGGTGCTCATGGTTTAAGGACCCTCATGGGCAAGTGTCCCAGCGTTGCCTTGTTTTAGCAGGCAGCCACTGGTCCTGGCACAGGTCTGTGTCTTCCTGCGCACAATGGGATTCATTGTTTGGAAGGAATGTGCCTCATTCAGTGGTTCGATAGTGGCTCTGATGGACGCCCATGTGGCGCACCCAGCCCATACTCAGGCCTTTACACCCTCAAGGCCAGAACTTCTAGGCCATTTCATGTGGTCACCCTGGAGGCTGGCACCAGGTTAATTTATTCCAGAGAGTCCTCTTGTAAGTCATGGTGCCAAAAATGGCAACTCTGCTTAAAAACAAAAACACTCTCGAAACCTCACTGAGTTCATGTAATTCACCTTACACCAACCTCACTTTTCATGTCTGCTCATCTACTGGGCTGGTCCTGACGTGGCCCCTGCTGGGAGCAAGCAGCTGGCAGCTTCAGGAAAGGAAGGGACACTGCAGGCTTCATGGACCTTCCAGTGCTGCGGGCTCCGGTCTTGGAGACCAGACCCACCTTCGAAACATACCTTGGGGTGGTGTTGGGATGGAAAGTAGGGAGTGTGTCATTTTGCTTTGATTTTTTTCTTGGTGGCATGTTGACCTGGCTGGTCACTATCAGAACAAAGTCATAGACAGGGCGGGAACTGCCTGTCTCTGAGCTGTGGCCCTCAGGTCCCGCCTCTGAAACCACGGCGACTGTCCTTGCTGGATGGAGGGACTCGGGCTTTTTGTGAGGGAGGGACACAGGTGGAAAGAGGCCCTCTGGCTACTGCTGACACCACCACGGCTGCCCTCCCTCAGGCGTCACTCAAGCCTCCTTTTGGAGCGAGGAGCAGTGAGAGGCTGAAAGTACACCCTTGGCCCAGGCCTCTTGGCTCTCTGGAAAACAGGACCTATGCAAGCCACAGGAGAGGCTGGCAGCATGAGCACACTGTCTCCTAGGAGGGTTGGGCCCGCAGGAACCTCCTGCTTTGCACCGAGAAGCAGCATCTGGGAGGAGTCCAATCTTCCTGTTTGGCTTCCCCTCAGCCCCATTCATCCCCAGACTGAATGGTTCCCTTCGAGCGCCTGGCCACCCTCCTCATCTGCCCTCTCTGCTCCATTTCCAGGCAGTTACCCAGCTACCTTGAGATGGTGACAAAAGACATCCTGGCCCCCAATCTGCAGTGGCATGCAGGGAGGACAGCCGCGGCCATCCGCACGGCAGCCGTGTCCTGCCTCTGGGCACTCACCAGCAGTGAGGTCCTGTCGGCCAAGCAGGTACGGGGATCCTTGTGTCCTCGACAGGCACCGATCAGGGCTGCACAGGCTTCCTGCTGCCTGGGGCTCCCTGCATCCTCAGTGGACACTGGCTCAGGCTGCACAGGCTTCCTGGCACCCAGCAGGAACTCAGGAAGGCAGCAGCTCCACCTGCACCTGGGGCCTGCACTCCAAAAGGCTCTCCCCACCCTGGCAGCAGAAGGCCAGGAGCTGGCAGCAGGGCTGTAATTGAAACAGCAGGTAGGAGAGCGGGAGCCAGGCCATGGGCCTGGACAGCCCCATCATGCTGCGGGTTTTGCTGCCTCTGATGAGTGTGGGGTTTCTCGGTTTTGTGGCCAAATGCTGGCTACAAGACCAGGAGTCGAATCCCAGGATCCAAGCTCAAGAACAGGCCTGAGCTTTCCACATCATTTCTATGAACACCTCCAGCTGGTCCCAGGCATCAGAAAACGGACACTGATGCCTGTGCCCCGTCCTAGTCGCCACCTGGTGGGAAGGCACTGCCCAGGTGCCTGCGCGGCGTGAGCGCCACCTCCTGGTGCTTGCAGGGTAGTGCTCAAGCTGAAAACCCCACAGCAGTGGGGCGCGAGCCAGCCGTTACCCCAGTGTAGGGTTAGTGCCTCACCCAGGAGTTGTAAACCATGTGTATATTTTTAAAAATCAAGTAAGCAAGTTAAACAAAAATTGTTCAAAATCTAAATTTTACAATCAAGATTCAAGCCTACTTAAGTAAAGCTTTCAAGCCCCATAAGTCCTTCCAGGCAGGAGTACACGGATGGCGAGCCCCCCAGGACAGATGTGAATCACATCGCATGTGTTTGATGATTGCAGATCCGGGATGTGCAGGAAACACTGATGCCTCAAGTCCTGACCACGCTGGAGGAAGATTCGCAGATGGCGCGGCTGATCTCGTGCCGTATCATCAACACGTTCTTAAAAACCTTGGGCAGCATGTTTGATCCAGATAAACTCATCAAGATTTATCCTGGTAGGACATTTCTTTTGTTCACAGTATATGGTATACAGTTGGCCCTCCATATCCCTGGCTTCCATCTGCCTCCAGGGAGTCAGCCAGCCTCAGATCAAAAATATCTGAGGCTGGGCATGGTAGCTCACACCTGTAATCCCAGCACTTTAGGCAGGGGGATTGCTTGAGCCCAGGAATTTGAGATCAGCCTGAGCAACATAGTGGTACCCCATCTCAAGAAAAAATTTAAAAATTAGCCGGGGTTGGTGGCACATACCTATAGTCCCAGCTACTCAGAAAGCTGAGGCAGGAGGATCGCTTGAGCCCAGCCTGAACAGCAGAGCAAGACCCTGCCTTTAAAAGTGGATTTATGCATAATATGTATATATGTATGTGGCTACATATGTATATGTTGGTGCATATATATGTTTATACATACAATACAAACTTACATGTACATTTGTATATATAAATATGTATGTATTGGGGGGCAGAGTTCAATAGTTCCAAAAAGCAAAGCTTGAATTTGTTGAGCACCGAGTACAGCGTTGAACCCATGTGAAGGAAGTGTTGTGTGGACATTTGATTAGGCACTGAAAGTAATCTCAAGGCAATTTAAGGTGTGCGGGAAGATGTGTATGGGTTGTGTGTAAATACTATGCCTTTTTTTATCAGAGAACTGAGCATTTGACGATTTTGGTATCCTGGAGGAGGGTTCCTGGAACCAAACCCCACAGATACTGAGGGATGGCTGTATTTAAGTTTGACAGTGGTTTGTTTTATAGAAAAAAATAGAAAATGCTACTCTTTGACTTCTGTTGAAGTTGCTACTATGAGAACAAATAGCAGTGACAGATGAAATACCACAAATTAAATAACACAGCAAGAAGCAAGGCAGATGTCTCCGAACCAGCACTGATTGGGAGCAGCAAGGCTCAGCTTTCACATGGCTGGGAGTGGGGGCCTTTAAGGATTGCAGGGTCCCCCTAGAGCAGTGCCCACGGTGTAGGGTGGCTGGAGCTGCCTGTGGGGCAGACAGGACCAAGCCACCTGCAGCAGGACTGGGGCACAGCCTCAGTGTTGCTGCCTTCTGGTCCTCAAACCCCAAACCAACCCCTGGGGAGGGGAAAGCAGTGGTCAGCTTGAAGCCCTGGAAAAGAACACTGAGCAGAGTCATAAATTCAGAGAGGGCAGAGTCCCTCACTCAGGGGAACCTGCACACAAACCCCTCAGGACAGGGGTCCCCAACCACCCAGGCCATGGACCAGTACCTGTCCGGGTCCTGTTAGGAACCGGGCTGCACAGCAGGAGGTGAGGGGCGGGTGAGCAAGCAAAGCTTCATCTGTATTTACGGCTGCTCCCCTCTGCTCACGTTACCAGCTTAGCCATGCCTCCTGCCAGTTCAGCGGTACCATTAGATTCTCACAGGAGCAGAAACCCTACTGTGAACTGCACATGTGAGGGATCTAGGTTGGGTGCTCCTTATGAGAATCTAATGCCTGAGGATCTGTCACTGTCTCCCATCGCCTGCAGATAGGACCATCTAGTTGCAGGAAAACAAGCTCAGGGCTTGTTTTCTCCATGATCGTGAGTTGGAGAATCATCTGATTCTCTATCACAATATAGTAATCACAGAAAGTGCGCAGTAAATGGAATGCACTTGAATCATCACGAAACCATCCCTCACCCCCGACGCACAGAAAAATTGTCTTCCACGAAACCAGTTCCTGGTGCCAAAAAGGTTGTGGGCCGCTGCCTCAGAACACAGGAAACCCGGCGCCAAGGGCGGCCTCGCAACCAGCACGGGAGGGAGGCGCAGATAATAGAACCACCTCAAAGTTACCTTTTTAGAAGCATGTTTAAGATCCTCAAAAAGCCAAAAGAATAACATCCACTAAAAAACAAGTTGAGAAACAAGAAGGCAAGCAGGAATAAAGAACAGATGGATATGGAAACAATCTGCTAGAAATTCCAGAATAACATGGAATGGCACGCTCGCACTACTTTCAGGAAAGGAGCTACCCAGCCAGGGAGGAAGGAGATGGGGTGGATGGGAAGCGGCCACTTGGGCTTCCTGATTATCTAAACCTTGTGTTTATGCCAGAAGTGTTTAGCAGTTTTTAAAATATGGTTCTTACTAATTCCTGGAAATGAACCATAGTCAATGGAACTTCACACTCTCTGCATTGGGTCAACTCTAGACTGAACATGGCTGACAACAGAGTTAGTGAGTTGAAAGCCAGGAAGGTGAAATTCCCTGAGGACACAGGACAGAGAGGGGCTCGAGGCCTGGAGCTGGAGGGCCCACCGCATGGGCTGAGAGGCTCTTGGGCTTTTCTGAATCCCAGGAGACGCGAATGGAGGAGAGATGGTGCCTCAGAATTTGAATTATCAGGTTCAAAGTACACACAGTACTGGGCAGAAAAAGCGCCACCTGCTGAACTCTGAAGTCCGGGTGCCGTTCTCACTCGTTCTTTCAAGTTTGCTTTTCTGGTTTTATTGTTGTAGTAACAACAGCTTGTTCCCACGGGCTCGTTTGAATGAGTTTGATCAGTGCAATTTGTTGGGAGTTCGCTCACTCTTTAAAACAGGAGGCAGCAGAAAGACTGCACGTTTGGACTTCTGGGCCACAGCCTCCTGCATGGTGATTTTCACCACAAAAGGCTCCTTGAGAGGCTCCTTGCCAGCTGGTGCCAGCTCTGGGCTTCCCGGGGTGAAGTGCTAGATGAATCATGGCCTCCTTGGCCAGGAAGTGAAGGATATCCTGAGATGGGAGGTCAGGCACCCGAGCCTCCCGAGACAGACACAAACGCAAAGGGCAGACAGGCCCGTGTGAGCTGATTCCACCGGGCTTGGCCATGCATGAAGGGAACCCTGAAATGTTAGAAAGTGGACTTGCAGGCAGTCCGGGGAGCGACCCTCATAAGCACACAATAGCCAGCACTACTCTGCAATTCCACAGTCGGACAAGCCAGCGGGAAGCCTTGGAGGATCCCGTCATGCCCATAGACGTTTGCTGGTGGGCCAGCCGTGGGTGAGTTGAGTCTCTGACTCCATTCTTTCTCCCTGAGACTCATGTAGTGAGTGCACCCGCCGTGCAGGGCGGCTCCAGGTCTGGCACGGGTGATGCCTGGACATGCTCCTCAACTTCCTCCTCAGTCCTGTGTTTGGTGCCTGGAAGGCTCAGCACCCTAAGGGAGGCACCTGGCATCTCCCAGAAGTTAACCCAGCGGGTCCCACTTGTCTCAAAGCCTGGCTTGGTGGGGTGTCCTGAACTTTGGATGTTTTCATGCCTTTTGTTAGTCAGGAACGGCTTGCTGAGGGTAGATCATGCCCTCCGTGTATGAAAGCAGCAGAGACCCAGCCCACCTTCGCATCTGTGGCAGGAAGATGGGCCTCCCCTCCCAGCATTGTCCACCTCCAGGTGGTTTTGCAACTCAGTCATCTGCAAATCTCCAGATGATACACAAAGGGGGTGCTAAATATCTTTTTAAGATGATGTGGAAAAAGCATAAATTTGATAAAAATTGTACCCATTAACCTCATAAGTTTCTACCCATCAGGAAGGATTCTTCTGTTTTCAGCAGCAGAAAACTGACCACAGTAAGGGGTTGTCTGTCACTGGGTCCTCAGCTCTGCCCCAGAACCCATGGTGAGTGGGAGGGCAGGGTCAGAGCTGGACGGGACAGCCAGCTCTGGGATCTGAGCATCTGGGAGCCAGAGGTGGAGGGCCAGCAGGGAGGCTCAGGTCTGCTGCGCCCACAGGACAGGTTATTACGGGGGCCACAGCAGGGCCTGGGATGCCTCCACACTGTTGGCTGGGGTCCAGGGGGCCCAGGGCGCAGGAGCACCTCACGTGTGGCTCAGGATGCATGGAATCTCCCATGAGCTGTGGGTTTCCTAGGACCCCAGCACAGGTGCCCCACAGGAGTGAGAACTAAACACCTTTGTGGACGTTTAGATGTGAAATGTCTGCTCTAGACTCACACACCTGTCTCGTCCCATCCTTCCAGAACTCTTAAAGCGCCTAGACGACGTTTCCAACGATGTGAGGATGGCAGCTGCCTCCACCCTGGTGACCTGGCTGCAGTGTGTGAAGAATGCTGACGGAAAGGCCTACTATCAGAGCAGCGTCCAGTACCTGTACAGAGAGCTGCTCGTTCACCTTGACGATCCAGAGAGCACCATCCAGGACGCCGTTTTAGGTGAGACTCGGATGGCTCAGGCTGCGTTCTGATGCCTGCTTTCAGTGCCTGCCACAGGTCTCTGTAGCTGAACCATGTGACCAGCCACAGGGCCCTGGGGCACAGGAGGGGCCCTCAGCTCCAGCCTGGCACACCCTTGAACCCTTGTCTTTGTGGTGATGGCGGCTGACATTTCCTATAACAGAAATCAAAATTGAAAGCATTTTAGAACATTTGTGAATTGTTTAAAATAACAATAGTAAGCTCATTATATATTGACACAAATAACTTGTGTTTTTGAAAAATATTTTCCAAAACAAAATCATCTGCAAGAACAATTTTTACAAATCTCTTCAACGTGTAGCTTGATGGAAGACACTGGACTTTCGCATCTGCTGCACACCGTCAGTCATGATGTATATGGCTCTGGTTGAAATACGCAGAAAATAACCTGGCCTCACCTGTGGCTTCAGGTGTAGTTAGACAAGAGAAGAGTATTTTAATAGCTTTTTCAGATAGGCATGGGCATTCTTCAGTACCACGCCAACAGAACACAGGCCATCCCTTGAAGGTCACTCACAGTGTAGACTCCGAGGCCACACCCCGGAACCTCCCATGCTCAGCGGTTAAAATCCGCCGGTCCATCCCACACTTGGAATATAATGATTTTTTTAATATATATATTTTTTTCTTCTTTTTTTTGTGTGTAGTTTAATGTAATGATTTTGCTTTTTTAAAAAATAAAATTTGTATTTTTGATTTTTATGAGTACAAACAGTAGGTGTATATATTTATAAGGTACTTGAGATATTGTGATAGAATCATTCGGTGTGTGTGATCACATCGGGGAAATGGGGTCCCCATCACCTCAAACACTTACCCTTTCTCTGTGTTATGAATAATTCAATTATCTTTTAGTTATTTTTAAATGTGTTATAATTATTATTGACTATAGTCACCTTTTTGTGCTGTCAAATACTAGACATTATTCATTCTGTTTTTTGTAACCATTAACCATCCCTCCTCTCCCCACAGCCCCATTCCCCTTCCCAGCCTGTGGTAACTATCCTTCTGCTCTGTTTCCAAGAGTTCAGTTATTTTTATTTTTAGCTCCCACAAATGAGAACGTGCGGAATTTGCCCTTCTGTGCCTGACTTATTTCAGTTAACATAGCAATCTCCGCTTCTGTCCATGTTGTTAAAAATGACTGGATCTCATTTCTTTTATGGCATAATAGTATTCCACTGTGTGTATGCACCACATTTTCTTTCTCCATTCTCTGTCGGTGGACACTCAGGTTGCTTCCAAATTGTGGCTACTGGGAACAGTGGGGCAGTCAACGTGGGCGTGCAGATCCCCCTTCCATATACTGATTTCCTTTCTTTTGGGGATATGCCCAGGAGTGGGATTGCTGGACCGTATGGGGCTCTATTTTTAGTTTTTTGAGGAACCTCCAAACTATTTTCCATAATGGTTGCACTAATTTACATTCCCACCAACAGTGTGTGAGGGTTCCGTTTTCTCCACATCCTCACCAGTATTTGTTATTGCCTGTGTTTTGGATAAAAGCCATTTTAACTAAGAGGATGTCTCACTGTAGTTTTTATTTGCGTTTCTCTGAGGAGCAGTAATGTTGAGCACCTTTTCACATGCCTGTTTGTCATTTCTATGTTTGAGAAATGTCTATTGAGATCTTTTACCCATTTTTAATTGGATTATGAGATTTCCTCCTGTTGAGCTTCAGCTCCTCGTACATTCCAGTGATTAATCTCTCATCAGGTGGGAGATTGCAGGTACCTTCTCCCACCCATATCCTGTGGGCTGTCCCTTCACTCTGCTGATGGTTCCCTTTGTGGTGTGGAAGCTTTGGACCTGGTTATGCTAACTTTGCTTTTTGACATCATTTGGAAAACACTATGTGGATATTCCTGGCCTGGCTACGTCTCATTATGCCATGTCAGAAACTCGGATCTTCCTGGCATGGCTAGGTCTTGTTATGTGATGTCAGAAACTCGGATCTTCCTGGCGTGGCTAGGTCTCGTTATGCAATGTCAGAAACTGTTATGTGTGAGCACCAGTCTTAGAAGAGTCCAGGCTTGTGGTGGCAGAGACAGGCTTTGGATAATTCTGATTTTTTGTGTGAAAGCTTGACTTCTATCCTCAGCCACAAACACTGTTCGTTGTTCTGGGAGTGAGGGACTCAGGTCATTCACTTTCACGCTGTGCTCTACCAGATGCCCGCGTCAGCGCAGCCAGAGTTTGTGCACTGCTCGTCCCCGTCTGCCATTCTTCTCAGGAAAAGCGGCTCAGCCGTACAACCCTGGTCCTCAGTGAGCAGCAGGGCACCTGGTGCCCACTCGCCACACGTGTGCGCAAGCCACGTGCTTGAGGGTGAGTGTGGCAGGGGGCACAGGCCTAAGATGGCTGCTCCCGCATCTGCGCAGGTGTGAGCACGGTGACGAGCAGGCTGGGCATTTCTGCATGTGACTGCGAACCTCGCTTTGACTCACAGATCCCCTGAAGGGTCCCGGGGACCCCAAGGGCCTTGGAGCACATGTCAGGAGCTCCTGCCTTGAGTCGTGAATCAGCTTGTCTGCCAGTGAGGGAGTGCCCCAGAGGCCAATGCTCTCCGGGTTACAGAAAGAAGCTAGGAAGTGGAGTCTGATTGGAAATTATTTAAAAGGAGGACAGCAGCCGATGTTCAGGCCTCGCTGGGACAGCCCATCCCACCAGATCCACCTGGCGCCCCCAGCTCCCCACAGTCCCTGGCAACTCCCAGCCCTGCCCATGCCCTGCCAGCTCTCCTGCCCTGCATCACCCACTATCCACCCGAGTTCTGAGCCTCCTATAGCCTCAGCCTCAGCCTCACTCACCCTCAGGAACTTGCTCTAGGCCAAGGAGTCCAATGCCCCTGTGCCCCAGCTCATCCCGCAGCCCCGGCCCTCTTGTCTCCCCAGGACCACACAGGGCATCTCCCTACCCCAGTGTACAGTCCAGGCCATTCTTTCTCCTATCTTTAAAAAAACGAAACACAGATTCCCTGGACACTGCCCACTGCGTGTCCACCTGGCACTAGGCCACCTGGGAGCAGCCCACCCTACCCCTCCTGTAGGTCCTGGGCCCTTGGCAGGCATCAGCTACCATCCACCTGCTTGCACCTCTGAGCAGTGCCAGGCACAGCTGGCAGCCAGGTGCCCTCCTCTAGCTGTGTAATGCCTGGCCTCAGCCTCCTGGTCTTTGCTTCACCCATGCGGGCCTCTTGCTTCCCCTCTGCTGTGTCTCCACCACGCCCTCAGAGTGTCTGTCCTGGCCTTCACATAACCCTGTCCTCAGCTCCACACACAAGTGTGACTGCCTGATGTTGAACCCTGGGCCACTACCCACCCCCACCCTGCCTGCCGGGTCCCCCCACCCTCAGTGGCTTAGTGGTCATCTGTCCTTGAGACTGAAGGCAGAGACCTTGGGGTCCTTCTGGGCTCCCTCTTAGACACCCAGCAGAATCTGATCGGCTCCCTAACCACTCCAGCACCCCCCATCCCACCACTTCCTGCCTCCGCTAGACATGCCCAGCCTCCACCCCTGCAGCTCCTACTGCCCCCATCACACACATCACCACAAGTCCCCGACATGTTTGCCTTCCTGATTTCATTATCACCCACTGCTTCCTGATGAACCCGCCGTGAGCGTGGGTTCATTTCCTGCTGTGTCCGTGGTGCCTGGCCTGTGGGAGGTTTGCAGTCACTGCAGCAGGTGAATTGGCATCAGCAAATTGGATAAGGAAGTCATCTGTTTTTCTGAGCCTGTTTATTTGCTCCTGCAAGACCTGTTTCTAAGGCCAAAAGTGCCACCTGAAGACCCTGAAGGACATCATTTCATGGTCTGCCAACAACTGCCAGGAGGCAATTTTAAGTTCTTTGTGTCCAGTTGTGACTGCCGTGCACCGACACAGCAGCATCAGGTTTCTCGTATTCACATAGTGACTGCCATGCAGCTTCAGGTCACTTGAATCCACACTGTGACACAGGTCACTCGTATCCACACTGTGAGTGCTGTCCATCCGTCCAGCAGCGTCAAGTCACTTGAATCCACACTGTGACTCAGGTCACTCGTATCCAGCAGCGTCAAGTCACTTGAATCCACATTGTGACTCAGGTCACTCGTATCCACATTGTGAGTGCTGTCCATCTGCCCAGCAGCGTCAGGTCACTTGAATCCATATTATGACTACAGGGCACCCATCCGCAGCATCAGGTCACTGGTATCCACATTGTGACTACTGTGCACTTGGCCACCTGCATCGGACCATTTGTATCCACATTGTGACTCAGGTCACTCGTATACACATTGTGACTACTGTGTACCCACCCAGCAGCATCAGGTCATTTGCAAATGCTTTTACAGATGCTTGAACTTTCATACAAAGCTGATTTGCATGAGAAGTAAGATTGGTTAATGTTTATTTCTGGCATGTTCAAGGTGTTTTGCTGTTTTACAGAGGTCCTCAAGGAGGGCAGCGCCTTGTTCCCAGATCTCCTGGTAAGGGAGACAGAGGCCGTCATCCACAAACACCGCTCAGCCACCTACTGTGAGCAGCTGCTGCAGCATGTACAGGCCGTGCCAGCCACGCAGTGACCACACCCTTGTCCCCACCTGAGCCGGCATTTGTGGCCTTTAAACCTCATAAACAAGGTACCTCTGTGCCAGCAGTGAGACTGTGACAGCAAGAATGTACTCCCCAGGAAACCTGCCCGGTCTTCCCCTGGAATAACAGCCTCTGAGAGGATTCTGCATTTTATGTTATTTGTTCAGTTCATCGAGAGGTCGCCCCAAAGTCTACAGCTGATTTGAAATTAAAAGTAAGTTGCAACTGCTCCCTCTGCAGCCAAATCAGCATTGTCTTGGTTTTTAAGCCTCATGTGCGCAGCTGGGTTCATGGATTATCAGTTCCATCCTGCTTAGATGCCCACCAAGAAAGTTTTTACCTATCTAACAAAAAAGAAAAAAGCCAAAGTGATTAGAAGACATGAATGAAATCTCTTTTTGGGTTCTGTCTCCTGAAATTTAATGGTGAACAGACTAAAAAGAATTGGAACAACTTACCAGTTAGATTTCTCCTGTTTTAAATATACCAGAACTTTAAAGGTTATCTATCCAGTTGCCATATATTTTAGGTCAGTAATGCTAACAGTGTTGAAAACAGAGTAATTTGATATAATTTTGGTTGCCCCTCTAGGTAGCAAGAAAGGAAAATTGTATTTCCCTCTCGCACATTCTACACCCAAGTGCCTAAAAGATCTCACTTTAAGTGGATTTTGTTACTGTAAGCCATTGTGTTCACACAAGGGGGAAATGCTGTGTATATTTTCCAACAATTAAATGTTAACATTTATACTTTCACTTTTGAAAATTTAATTAAAAATATTTATTATAATGATTGTATATGCCTGACTTTGTGGGTTGGTAGGTAACTAACCGACATGTCAGGCAGGAACCCCAGCCTAGAGCATTTTAGGGTTCCTCTAAGGGCTCTCGTAGTGCCCCCTCTGGACACCAGGGGGCAGGAGCTCCTAACACGTTAGGGCAACACCCTCGGTGAGGAGGGCACATAGGCCTCATCTTGAGAGGGGCTGAGCGTCAGGGTGAGGCCAGGTCAGCCTTGGGGGGGGCATCAGGGTGGGGGCAGGTCTGCCTTGGGGGGACATCGGGGTGGGGGCAGATCAGCCTTGGGGGTTTTCAGGGTGGGGGCAGGTCTGCCTTGGGAGGAGGGCATCAGGGTGGGGAGGAGGTCAGCCTTGGCGGGGGCGTCAGCATAGGGGCAGGTTAGCCTTGGTTGGTGACTGGAATGTCCAGGTACAGAGAGGTCAGTCTGGATGGGGGATGGTTTTAGGGTTGGTGGAGATCAACCTTGGAGGGGGGATTTGTCCAGGTGGAGAAAGGTCACCTTTGGGTTTGTCTGGGTCGAGGAGGTCACCTGTGGGGGGGGGATGTAAGGGAGGGGAGGTTAGCCTTGGGGGGTGTCAGGGTGGGCAAAGATCAGCTGTGGGGATGGCTGAGGTGTCCGGGTTGGGGAGGTCAGCATGTGTGGCTGTGCCTGCCCCATGGACTCATCGCCTGCCCTAGACACCCTCGCCACCCTCTGGTCCCCTTCAGAGTTGCGCCCTCATGCCTGCTCCCTGCATCAAGCTTCTGTAACTGGTGGCCAGAGTGATTTCAGGTGCCCTCAGGGGTGGTCCTCCATCTGTTCCTTGTGTGCTCTCTGACCTCTGTGGCGCCTGCCATGTCCTTGAAGGGCCCTTCAGGGCCCCTGGGTCGGTGGTCCTCAGTGGTGACGGAGCCAGCAGCAGCACGTTGCGGCGCATCAGCCCAGACCTGCTGATGGAGGGACAAGTGGGCCACAGTCGGCCTTGCAGATGATTCTGAGGCTGTGGCCTGGGAGGACCCCCACCTGTGTACCATGCTGCTCCTATCCAGCTTCCATCCAGCATGAGACTCTGTTGTCTTTGTCACAAGAATGGCAGAGGGCTTGCCCCAAAGGACACACATGTGGAGGAGCCCCTTGAACCCCCCGGACACAAGTACACCTAACCCTGGCTGTCCCTCGCCCTGCATACTGGGGCCACAGCATGGGAGGAGATATCAGCACTGCCGCCCCATCTCTACACATCTTTAAAGGGAGCTCCCAGGGATCTGGCACGTCCACAGGTGCATGTGTTCAGAGAAAGATGGAAACCCAGCCTACAAGTGTTCATAGACACCAGAGAGGCAATACGTCCCTCTCCAATTAGTTCTTTGAAATTTTTATAGGCCAGGAATGGTGGCTGACATCTATAAATTCTAACACTTTGGGAGGCTGAGGAGAGAGGATCACTTGAGCCCAGGAGTTCAAGACCAGCCTGGGGAACAGAGGGAAAACCCGTCTCTACCAAAAATTTTTAAAATGAGCCAGGTATAGTGGTGGCTCATGCCTGTAATCCCAGCACTTTGGGAGGCCAAGGTGGGCAGATACTTTGAGGCCAGGAATTCAAGACCAGCCTGGGCAACATTGGGAAACTGTGTCTCTACAAAAAAAATTATTTAAATGAGTCTGGGCATACTGGTGCACACCTGCAGTCCCAGCTACTCAGGAGGATGAGACGGGAGAATCACCGAAGCCTGGGAAATCCAAGCTACAGTGACCCAAAATTGCACCACTGCATTCCAGCCTGGGCAAGGGGAGTAAGACCCTGTCTCAAAAAGTAAATGTTTATAAATCATATATGAATGGATTAACATATACTTTTTGTCTTGCTTCTTTCACTCAGCAGTTTTGAGGTCCATCCATGTTGGATGTCCATCAATAGTTCATTCCTTTTTTGTTGCTGCATAATATTCCATTCTATAGATATGCCACAGTGTGTTCACCCACTCAGCTGTTGACATGATTTTGAGCTTTTTTCAGGTTTTGGCTATTACAAATAAAGCTGCTTTAAACATTTGTATACAAGTCTTTGTATGGATTGGTACTTTCATTTCTCTTGGGTAAACATCTAGTAAAATGGCAGTCATGGAAAATGTGTACTTAATTTTTAAGAAACTGTGAATCTATTTTCCAGAGTGGTTGGACCATTTCTGCCAGTCCTGTGCAAGAATTCCAGTTCCAGGGCCGGGCGCGGTGGCTCAAGCCTGTAATCCCAGCACTTTGGGAGGCCAAGGCGGGTGGATCACGAGGTCAACAGATCGAGACCATCCTGGTCAACATGGTGAAACCCCGTCTCTACTAAAAACTACAAAAAAAACTTAGCTGGGCATGGTGGCACGTGTCTGTAATCCCAGCTACTCAGGAGGCTGAGGCAGGAGAATTGCCTGAACCCAGGAGGTGGAGGTTGCGGTGAGCCGAGATCGCGCCATTGCACTCCAGCCTGGGTAACAAGAGCGAAACTCCGTCTCAAAAAAAAAAAAAAAAAAACGAATTCCAGTTCCTCCTATATTTGCCAACACTAGCTACATCACTTTTTAATTTTAGCCATTCTAATAGGTGTGTAGTCATATCTCATTATGGTTTTAATTTTCGTTTCCCTATGGTTTTAATTTGCATGTCTAATGATGCTGAGCATGTTTTCATATGCTTATTTGCCATCTTTATATATTTTTTGGTGTAGGGTCTTTTTAAATATTGACATAGTTTGGCTGTGTGTCCCCACTCAAATCTCACATTGAACTGTAATTCCCAATGTTGGAGAAGGGACCTGGTGGGAGGTGATTGGTACATGGGGATGGATTTCTTCCTTGCTATTCTCATGACCGTGAGTTCTCATGAAATCTGGTTGTTTGAAAGTGTATAGCACCTCCTCCTTCACCCTCTCTCTCCTGTCACCATCTGAAGACATGCCTGCCTCCCCTTCACCTGCTGCCATGATCGCAAGTTTCCTGAGGCTTCCACAGTCATGCAGAACTGTGAGTCAATTAAACCTCTTTTCTTCATAAACAACCCAGTCTCAGGTAGTTCTTTATGGCAATGTGAGAACGGACTAACAAATACCTTGCCCATTTAGACAAAACTGTGTTGTGTTCTTCTTGAATATTGAGAATTCTTCATATATGCTAGGTACAAGTCCTTTGTCTCATATATATATATATATGCAAAATTTTATAATATTTGCAAATATTTTCTATCATTTTATAGCTTTTCATTCTTTTAACAATGTCTTTTGAAGAATATAAGCTTTTTATTTTGAATGAAGTCTAATTTATCAATTTCTTTTTTCATGGATTGTGCTTTCGGGGTTGTATCTAAGAAATCTTTGCGTAACCCAAGGACACAAAGGCTTCAGTTCCTGAATTTTAACAAGCTCAAAAAGCTGTTGTCGCCAGGCACAGTGGCTCAGGCCTGTAATCCCAGCACTTTGGGAGGCTGAGGTGGGGAGGTCACTTGAGCCCAGGAGTTTGAGACCAGCTTGGTAATCATGAGGAGACCCTGTCTCTACAAAAAAAAAAAAAAATTAAAAGGCATGTTGGTGCATACCTGTAATCCCAGCTACTCAGGAGGCAGAGGTGAGAGGATCTCTTGGGCCTCGGAGGTTGAGGCTGCAGTGTGCTATGATTGCACCACTGCACTCCAGCCTGGGCAATCGTGCAAGACCCTATTTCAAACAAACAAGCAAAAAGCTATTATCATAGGCCAGGCCCAGTGGCTCATGCCTGTAATCCCAGAACCTTGGGAAGCCAAGGGCTGGTTGATCACTCAAGGTCAGGAGTTCAAGACCAGCCTGGCCAAGAGAGTGAGATCCCATTTCTATTAAAAATACAAAAATTAGCCAGGCGTGGTGGCAGGCGCCTGTATCCCAGCTACTCAGTTTGAACCCAGGAGATGGGTGTTACAGTGAGCCAAGACTGCGCCACTGCACTCCAGCCTGGGTGATAGAGTGAGATTCCATCTCAAAAAAAAAAGGTATTGTCGTAAAATAACTCATCTATTTGCTCTTAAATACACTGTGATTCAAAGGCAAGTTCCACTCCCCTCTGTAATCCCCTTTCTGTGACCTAAATGAAGATCTGAGGTTACTCGAGGGTGGGAATTAGTTAGTTGAAGAAAAAACACTCACCTTTTTGTAGCCAAAGAGAGCCTTCTATATCCGTATGGATGGTCTCCAAAACAGATTGTTAATTTTAAAAAGCAAGGAACACAACTTTGTGAATTGAATACCTCATCTGTAAAAGGAAGCGGAAGGGAGCTGCCTATTTTGCTTACATGCATAAAAAATTTCTGGAGGAGACAAAAGAAACCAGCTGAACAGTGAGGCCTCTGGAGAGGAGACCTGAATGCCTCAGAGACTGGAGTGGGAGTCCAGTCTTTACTTCTTGGTACCATGGAATTTACTTTCTAATGCACATAGTTATTACCCAGTCAAAAACAACTTGGCTGAGACTAACCTGTAATCAGAAACCTCACTGACACCTGATGCTGTTCTTAGCTCACAAGACAGCACACCTGTTTCTTCTGTATCGCACACTCCTGTCCCGGGGAAGGGTGTTCAGGATGTCAAAGCAAAAGCTTATTGGAAAGTTGTCTTGGGAGAAGTGCGGTGGCTCATGCCTCAGACCTCAACACTTTGGGAGGCTGAGGCAGGAGGACTGCTTGAGCCTGGGAAGCGGAGGCTGCAGTGAGTTGTGATGGCACCATTGCACTCCAGCCTGGGTGACAGAATGAGACCCCATCTCAATACAAACAAACTAAAATTGTCTTACTGAGAAATGAAAATGCAGAGACTTGTAACCAAGCACTCACAGCAACTTTATTCTAGCCGCAAAAAGAAATCTTTGAAAAAAACTCAAATGTCCATCGGCAGTCATGAATGTATAAACAAACTGTAGTCTATCTATACAACAGAATACAATTCTGCTATAAAATGATAAGGGCATACTGCAACGTGGATGGCTCTCGCAGACATCAGG